TATTACGGCTTTGCACCAGTCTCCCGGTACCCGCTTAAGTTCCCATTCATAAATTAAACAAGGTGCACAGCAGGTCTGCCACCACTCCTTCACCAGCCCTCAAGGTAAGGCAGTCGGATATGTTAATAATGATTATATGTATAATAAAGAAAAATAATAAAAAAAAATAAAAAATAAAAAAAATAAGGGTATGTTCCGATATAAAATGCAAGCACTGCTCAGTGCTCTCACCGGTTGTGTTAAAAATTCGTTCCGTTATGGGCTGCCAGTAGTATAGTGCCGCAGTACCCTAGGAAAATATATGACGTCGTAAATCGCCGCCATTTTTGTATTGTGAGCACTGGCGCTTTTGAGCTAAGGTGCTTTCAGTACTTTGATCAAAAAACATAACAGCGCCTAGAGATTTAACAGCTTCCGCGAATTATTGTTAATATTATTAAATAATATTTTTATTCAAATAAACTCGGACATTAAGTTTTAAAAGCAACAACATTCAAATAATATTTTTCTTGTCGAACAGAAAACGTGTACATGATAAATATTTTCATTTGAAAACAGTGTCGAAAATGGGGATGACAGTATACTGGACTGCGTTTCGTTTTAAACAGTAACCAGCATAGCAAACTAAAAAGGGACGGCTTCACAGTATACTGAATTGACGTCACACCTTACAGTAGTCACAGTTGTAATACACTGAGTGTATATCGGAACACACCTTAAGTCTTGTTGCAAGTGCGTTGCAGGCGGGACTCATGTAGAATACAGGAATTACAAAACAAACTTTTTCTATCTCTTTCACGAAAGGACGTCGACATAGCAATATTGCTTTCTCTGTTTCGGTTTCTCAAGAAAATTTTAATTCGTCGCAGTTTCTTGACCCTATAGAATCTTGTGGTGAAAGAATTCGGAATTTAACGTCTGCTGAACATAGGCTTCCCCCAAGGAATGCCACAAAGCATGAATTTCCTTCGTGTCTTACCAGGTCTTACGGTTTACACAATTTTTAACTACGAGGGCGGCACTGAAAATTTCGGGAATCAAGGAAGTGACACAATATTACTATTTAAAAATGTATTTATTGCTTTTCGAAGTATTCTCCGCGAAATTTGACACATTTTTCCATACGATGGAACCAATCATTGAAGCAACCATTCCATTCGGAAGTTGGGTTCTCCAAAATGACCGTTTTGTAGGCGTCCACAGCTTCTTCATGTGATGAAAATCTCTGTCCACGCAATTTATTCTTTATTTTAGGGAAAGTATAGAAATTATTAGGGCTTAGGTCGGGGCTGTACGGCGGATGGTCTAATAATTCTATGTTTTCTTGCTCTAAAAACTCTTTTCTTCTGTTTGCGGTGTGAGAACTCGCATTGTCGTGATGGAGGAAGATGCGGCTCTTTACGGAGTTCAGAAACGATCTGTGGCAAAAAAATGCTAGCATACCATTCTGCATTAACCGTTCTTTGTCCCTCAAGAGGAATAGTCGTAACATGGCCGGTTTTGGAGACAAACATGGCCACCATTTTTTGCAACATTCCGTGAACGAACAATTTTTGTTGGCTTTTAACTCATTTTCGAACACCCAAACTCGTGACTGGTTTTTTGTTTCGGGTTCGTACGCGTATATCCAGGATTCGTCACCTGATACGATGTTGCATACAGCATTTGATGATCCTGCGTGGAATCTTTCGAGAGTTCTGACGCACCAAGTAACGCGAGCCGCTTTTTGCTCTTCACAGAGCGAATGCGGTATCTATCGGGAAAACAACTTTTTTACACCTAATTGTTCATGCAAGATTATTTGTATTTGACTCATGCCAATGTCTAAAGTTGCCTGAATTTCGCGGTATGTCACATGTCGATCTTCCTCAATCAGCTTACGCACAGCATCAACGTTTTCTTAGGTGACTGCAGTTTTTGGATGACCTTGACGGGGATCATCACTGAGCTCGACACGTCCACGTTGAAATTCAGCAAACCAGCGATAAATTGTGGTTTTGGATGGGGCTTCATCACCAAATGCAGAAATCATCCTGTCAACACACTGTTTTTGTGTTAAACCACTTCGAAAGTCATGATAAATCATCGCTCTTGAATTTTCTCGAGTCAATTCCATTTTCTCAACGACTAAACAAGTTTGACAAAACCTTGTGACAAGACCGAGAATCTTTTCTTAAATAAATAAATGGTATTCGATTTTTAAAACTAAGGTCTTTTCAATTAAAAAGATTTTAATATGACAGGAACAGTGGAAATATTACATTCCGGATACTTTTAGTGCAGCCTTTGTACGAGGCTGCCACTCGAGAACCTTTCTTTACCATCGGTTGACGGGTCGTGGAGCTATATGGCTGGCTAATTGCCACTTCAGGTTACTAATCCGTTGGGCTATGTCGGTTACTCAGGTTCTACTGCGGATATCCTCGTTTTTAAGTCTATCACGTAGAGAAATCCCGAGCGTAGCCCTTTCTATAGCTCGCTGAACGACTTCCTCATACGGGCACTAGTGAAAGACCACGTCTCAGATCCATAGGTCATCACTGGCAACACGCACTGGTTTCAATCTTGTTTTCAAGTTTTGAGACGAAAAGATGTGTCGCAATCTACCGAATGCTTCCGAGTTGAATCCGTCGATTGACCTCTCAGTCGGAGTTGGACTTACCTCGTCTCGACTTTTTGTCCCAGGTAAACATACTCGTCCACAACTTCGAGCGTAGTGCTACTAACAACTAACGGCATAGGTCTGACATGTTCGTTAGACCTTCGTTTTGTCCATGTTCATCTGTTAGGAGACAGTATTAAGGTCGTTGAGCATAGTGATTCGGTCCTCCAGCTATTCTGCCATAAGGACTATATCGTCGGCACATCGAAGGTGTGTGATGTACTTGATGTTAATGTCATATTCTTTCCGGTACAATAGCTTGAAAAAGTTTCGGGGATATAACGTCACCCTGTCTTACACCTCTCTGTAGTTGGATAGGTTTCTTGCTCTAGTTCTGTATTTGGATAGCCATTGTAGCCTTACTGTACAAATACTTCAGCACTTCGATATACCGCCAGTTCACTTGGCACCGCTGAAGCGACTGCAATTTCGACGGAATCAAAGGCTTTCTCTTAGTCCACATACGCAAGGCAAAGTGGCAGATTGTACACTTTGGTCTTCTGTACAATTTGCCGAAGGGTATGTAAGTGGTCTATGGTACTGAAGCCTTTTCGAAAACCGGCTTGTTCGAGAGGCTGGAAGTCGTCGAGTCTGCGTGCGAGAATATTCTTAATGACACTCGAAAACAGCACGTAGACACGGCTCAGAAGGGTAATCGGTCGGTAGTTTTTCAAGAGAGAGTTGTCGTCTTTCTTGAAGAACAAGACTACCGCATTTCTGTCTGCTCCACGTCTCCAGAGTAGTGCCACGATGGAGAACAGAATTAAAGACTTAATAGTTAATTATAAAGGAGAAAGGACTAATTAAAAATGCGTTCTAATATTAATAATTACAATCCTTTTAATTTGCTTTTAAAAATATTGTACAATACATTGATAATATATATTATAGATTAATGGTCTGGTTTTTTGGCCTTTGTCTGTCAACGGGCTGTATCTCATGATCAGTAATAGGTAGACAGTTGAAATTTTCACATAATGTGTATTTCTGTTGCCGCTATAACAACAAATTATAAAAATAAATTAAAAATTAAAGGGGACTCCCCTACTAGAAACGTGTTTTTTACCTACACAGTATTAAATCTTTTACCAACACGTTTCCCATCGTACGGAACCCTTCATGCGCGAGTGTGACTTGCACTTGGGCGGTTTTATTCTTTTTATTTAGAAATATGAATAGTCCAGATCGCACAGAATTATATCAGTCAAATACAAGCATTCTTAATACAAAAGTAGTTTATAATTAGTATCAATTTCGTTCGAATTGTTTCAATAAAGAAATTCGGTAGATTCTCCGCAGTTCTTTCGTGACGAAGACTCTTTTTTTAAACCCGGGACTCTTAAAAAAACACGTTTTATAGTAAGACTGAAACTGTCTTGTTACAAAGGTTGTTCTATACGTGGTAGAGCCATGCTGCAGCTATATTAGTAGTATAGTTGTAGCACGAATGGGTCGGCTCGACCAGGGAAGGACTGGAAGGACGGTTATGAATTATATTATTTATATGATGTAACAATTTTTGATTTGCATTATTATTATTCAAATGAATACATTCATATTTTTTTTATTATTTCATTAATGCATGGCATCAAACAGTGCATGGCGGTGACATTGCATGTACGTGGAAACCGTATCACAATTATCCAATCTCTTAACCTCTTAGCTTTCTTCTAGTCGAATGGGAATATGTTAGTAAGTCATATAACCTATGGGCGACCTTATTTTTTCATCGTTTCTTTTCCATGGATTGTGTTGTCTAACGCACTACACTAGATAAACTTAACGGCCATAATGCCCTATATTCAAGTTTGTATCTATTTATCGATGATGAGTTAATATATCACATTTTGTCACGGTCAAGACCTTTTTGCGCTAACTCTTTGCATGATCTCTTTATTTTACTTTTTTGATACAAAGTATCTGTATTAAGTATCAAGTATTGATTATACTTTAAATGATACAAAGTATCTGATATGCGGCATTTGTACTATCAAACTGATATAAGTTAAAAAAAATAGAAGTTTATTTGGGAAAGGATTCCGGGAAAGGCACCGAGTATAACTTGTAATTGTATGTTTCTTAAATTACATAAATAAAGACATATAAATATCAAATTTTAGTATCTCACTAAACAAATTTCACTAGCTACTGTTACAATTGTTATTTGCTATACTGGATGCACTATACAACCTACAATTTTCCAATTTTTAAGTCTTATTTTAATGTGCTATTAATGTGCACACCATAATTAAATTTACCAGAACTAGACTCTTAAAAATTGGGATATTTAATGAATCATGATTAGGCTCAAATATCTAACGCCAGCCGCGCGTCGCAGGTTCTCTGTGGCGATACATACGCGCCTCGATGTCGCTCAGCGGTTACATGCCGCCGCTTTGCGACCCCGTAGACGGCCACCTCCTATTGGACGGCGGTTACGTCAACAACTTGCCAGGTAAACCAATCACGGCGCGTGACTAAAACGCGTGACAGATACCGCATCGTGACAATTGCGTCACGTGGGACGTGGATACCGTGACAAGTGTAGCACGTGACAAATGCACTACGCGTAATGGACGACACGGTTTTTGATCGCGTTTCTTTTTTGCTGCAGCCTGAGTGTAAATATTTATGCGGAATGATCGTGCGGTTTACTATTGTACTTATTTTGGCTATCTCTCTGATTTAAAACAGCACTTTTCTGTTTCTATTCTACTTAAAAGCTTAATTTTAGATCGGGGTTGGACTAATTTTATTTTTTTATTTTACTAGCACCATGAAGCAAATACAAAGAGGAGACGTTGTAATTAAATTTCACTATGTAACAACGCGTGACAATTTGCGGGGTGAGGGGATACAAAGCCCCGCCCACTTTACACTATCTACATCTACTGATAAATAGTAAAACTACTCGAATCTTTCCATGTCGATGTTGCAATGTAACTTAGCTACCTTGACGGTAGATGGCGGCATGTCCACAAAATGTTATAAACTATAAAAATAATATTTTGGCGATTAAAATCTCTTTATGTCTGAATGCAAAACAAATTTCAGCACCTTCGTATGATTATTTTATTATTACCGAGCTCTACGTACTTTTATATGTTTAGTTCACAGGACACAAAGTGTCGCCATCTAGTGTGGAATATATTTAATTATATTTGAAAGCGGACGTAAAGAGATTTTTCTAGAACTATTTTAATAAATTAGGTGTAAAATTACTTACAAATGAAATGTGATGCCATCCATAGCATCGGAGCGTCTATCTCATGAAGCATATACATTTAGACAAAGAAATTTTAATCGCCAAAATAATATTTTTATAGTTTTCATAATAATTTTGGGAACAGGCGGCCATCTATCGTCAAGTAAACCTCATAAAAAATAACAAAAAGACAGGGCCGCAATTAGAATTCAATTATTTTACCCAGTAACCCAACATTCAATATTAAAATGAAGGAAATTGTATTTGGCTGATTTTTACGAAATGTTTAAGTTATATTTAAGTGACATTCTATATGCAAAGAATCACTTAAATACAACTTAAATATATTTATCATTTCGTGAAAGTCAACTTTCAAGAAATATTTATTTTATCCATAAAATAAAGTCTCTTTGAATCTAAATATTCTATGTTCAATATTAAGTAGGATATTTAATTTGGAACTAAATATCCTACTTATCTCACTAATATTATAAAGGCGAAATTTTGTGTGTTCTTTCTGTCTCCTTGAGCTTATTCCATACTAAGTATGTACTGTGTATGTGTATTTTTTTCACGAAGAAACGGCTGGACTATTATTTATGTGTGGGTTATACTACTTAATATCTCTGAGGGAGAAAAAAATAATAGACAAATTATTATAATTAATATAATTTTATTTACAAATCAATTAAAATATAAATATTTTATTCCAAATTAGGCATCTGAATGCACTTTTGGAATGCCAATCTAAGAACATTAAATTGTATTTAAGTGATTCTTTGCAAATAGAATGTCACTTAAATATAACTTAAACATTTCGTAAAAATCAGCCTAAGTACAATTTTAATATTAAAAGTTGGATTACTGGGAAAAATAATTGCATTCTAATTAGGGCCCTGTCTTTTTGTTATTTTTATGAGGTTTACTTGACGAGAATACGGCCTGTTCTCAAAATGATTATAAACTATAAAAATAATATTTTGCGATTAATATTTCTTTGTCTGAATGTAAAACAAATTTCAGCACCTTCGTATGATTATTTTACCAATACTGAGCTCTACGGACCTTTATATTTTTAGTTCATATGACACAAAGTGTCGCCATCTAGTGTCGAATATATTTAATTATATTTGAAAGCCGACGCAAAAAGATTTTTCTAGAACTATTTTAATGAATTAGGTGTAAAATTATTTACAAATGAAATGTGATGCCATCCATAACATCAGAGCGTCTATCTGAGTAGTTTTTACACAATAAAACACAACACTTCATCCTTTTCTTCTTAATACTACGAAAGTACACCGATTTGCGATTTTGTCATCACATAAGCGCACAGGACGAATGCTGACAGTATACTAACTAAAGCCACGCCCACTATGATGACATCAGGACCTACTTAGAATCACAGTGCACAGTTGCTTATGCCGTCTCCCCTTTGTATTAGCTTCATGACTAGCACTGATCAGCAAAATTTGCTGTATAAAAAGTGTGTACATTATAAAGGTTAAGTAACCCTTTTTGCATCTGTGTGGACATTGTAATATTTACACTCGGTCACAAAGCTATCGTCGTACGGTAAGTAATGGCAACATCGATTAGCATCAACAAATCGCGGAGCTTGCGAGTCCGGATGTACGGTTGTCCGGACATAGACTAGTCATGTTGCTACGTGCCAGGTATACTGTGGAGGTATTGCCGGGCGTCGATGAGCATTGCCGGGATATTTCCGCCCATCTGCGACCCCATCGATGGACATCTCCTGTTGGATGGCTGCTACGTCAATAATGTACCAGGTTAGTTAGTATTGCTACGCTGGTGTATTATCGCTATTTCTGAGATTTGAATTAATTTTAATGTTCATCTACGATGTTGTTATAGCGTTAATTATTGAATAAACTTAAGGTTTATTAACGTTTAAGAGGATATCTGGGCGTAACGTATTCCTCTATTGTCTCCCTGGCTGATAACACTAGTGCATTATTTTATAACTCAATGTACATCTACCGCTACCGTGTTTGTAGGTATTATTTTGTTTTTCTATAAATTAATTATTTTATAACTAAGAATCTTCTAATATTACTAAAACTGACCAGTTATGCGGTATGCCGCCGTCATAAGACATAACCGTGTAGTGGATGTGTAAAAATATCCACTACCCCACATCAGCCCGGGGGTGTCGTAATAGGCAACAGAAGGTGGTAGAACCAGGAGATGGGCGGCAGCATCTTCTTGATAACAGCTGAATAAAAATTAAAAGCGTGGCAACTGTGGCAATTATCCTTATGGGGGCAATCTATGGAAGAGGCCTATGTTCACCAGTAGACTTTTGATAGACTGTAATGTTATGGTATGGTAGAGGACGTACAACAAACAAACTTATAGCTAATGGATGCAATACACGATCCAGTTTACCGTCAAGTTCTGTAGCGCGGTTGACGCGGCGACAAGTTTGCAGTGCATCCATATGCACTCACGTTCAAGTTCACCGTCAAGTTTGCATGATGCCGCATCATTTGAAACCGTGGCGTCTCTCGCTTATTTGCTAGGACTAACGTCATGCATTCTTGACCGCTCATACACACGTTCAAGTTTGCATGACGCTGCAAACTTGATCAAGTCGACAGAATCGAAATCCAATTTTTGCTTCAAGTAGACTTGTCATGCACACTGATAGCCATACACCGTCAATTTTACCGGACGCCGCTTTAAGCGCGCTGCAAAATTGACAGTAAACTGGATCTGTATGGCATCCATAACATAAAAAATAAAACAAAAAGACATACTTGTAGTAATCCTTATTAATTTGAAAAGTAACGTTAAAAATCGGTGCAGGTTTGAAGAAGGAGACAGAGGAATACGGAATGGTGGATTCATCAATTTTTAATATGTATAATTAGTCCGAGCTGCAGTCCGCGTCTTCAATAGATTGTTAAAGAACTTATTCTACATTTTTCTTGATGCCCGGATATCCTTTTAACAAACTTTCTACGTGAAATTGCATGACAATGATAATTAATATCATATCAACCTCATCATTCTTACGAAAATTTACTACTGTACATAGGCCTTCCCCCAGGAATGCGTCAAAGCACGCTTCTAAACTCTTGCATCCATCGACTTCCTGCATCTTTCCAGCAGCCTATTCGCAAACTTCGTTGACATCAAAATGATAGTCAATTTAAAATACATTGATATATAGCTGTATAGCTTTTCTATAAGAGCAGAAATATTATTAAGCATACGACGCAATGTACTAAAAAGTGACTATCATTTTGATTTTTTCATAGGACAAGGGTAACAAACGAGCACACAGTCCACCTGATGGTAAGTGGTTGCTGTAGCCCATAGACATCTACATCTATCCTCGATTACGAATCAAAATGCAGATGCGTTGTCACCTGTGTGGACTAAGATGGAAAACCTCGTTTCCAGTAAAAAGGGTCTCCGGTTCTCTACACTCACCATACAAAACATAGCAGTGCCAAGCTGCCATTTTACGCTGCTATTCTGTGAGAGAGCGTGGTCCTTCCCCGATCGAGCCGACCCATTCGTGCTATAACTATATCAGTGATTTAGCTGCGGCATGACTCTACCACATATTAGTCAACAAAGTTAGCGAATAAGCATGCACGTCAACACTCCATCTAGTGGAAAGTTCATATTACGTTCTGACTGAAAAAAAAAACTTATCGTTTAAAACTGTCGCAGTGAAAATTAATGAATTGAATTAATAGAATAAAAGCTATAACTTGCTATTTTTGTTATGTAATTTTAAATTTGGGAATATAACATTACTCACAACTAATTTATATAGCATTTATCATGAACAAGGGTAAACTTGTACGTTCTAGCGGATGTGATGAGGTCGCTGGGCGCAAAACACATCCTGGCCATAGACGTGGGCTCCCAAGATGACACTGACCTAACCAACTACGGGGACGATCTCTCTGGCTGGTGGCTACTGTGGAAGAAGTAACTATTTATGATTATATTAAAATATCTCATTTTGAAAAAACGTCTCAGAAATCTACTATCTCAGATTTTTTTTAGTAGAATTAGGGTGACAAACGAGCACACAGTCCACCTGTTGGGAAGTGTATGCTGTGACATTTGAGTGTGCCTATTGGACATCTACATTTATCCTCAATTAAGAATCAAAATGTAGATGCGTTGTCACCACTGATAACCAATATTATGGAATGCCTCGTTTCGAGTAAAAAAGGTATCTGGTTCTATACACTAAACGTACGTCACGCAGAAGAATTAATCTGCTAATACACGCTAGTATTCTGTGATAGCGTAGTCCTTGATAGCGGAGCCGACTCATTCGTGATACAGCCATAACATAGTTGCTGCGTGGCTCTACCACCATAACATATAAGGTAAATTGATTTATTAATTTTCTAATTTTAATTGTTGTAAGCTTCCCTGAACACTAGCTTTAATAATGTTCATTGCAATTTTCTTCTTCATGTTCTGAACCACTTGCATCCATCGACTTCCTGCATATTTCCAGCAGCCATATTTTCCAAACTTCGTTGACATGAAAATGATAGTCAATTTAAAATACATTGCTTTGTATGCTACATAGCATTTCTATAAGAGCAGAAGCAGTGCTTAGGCGGTCAAGGAAAACATCGTGACGATATCATCATGTCCAAGAAAAAAATTAGGAACATTTTTCAAGGACGTGGCAATTGAGTCATTATGCACTGAGTCAACGCAACGGACTGACGCCTCCATCGCCCTCTCGGAAATGAAAACAGAACTGTTTCTGTAGTGGGAAGTATTTATACTTTATGCTAGTTCATCAGTTCGTAAGAGCCCATACAACAGCAACAGGACTGTCCCGAATTGCGAAGGTTTACGCTAATCTGTAGATGCCCGAAAAAGACAAGAAGTCGGTACTACACTACTTCTAGACATTGTAGGAGCTATAACGCGTTGAAATTTATTATTTAATAACATAATAATATTAATGATTATTTTAATAGGTGGAATCCGTTCACCACACCAGTGAAAGTGCCAAACTTACCGGATATCCAGAGTAGACTGGCGTACGTGTCCTGCAATCGACAGCTAGAGGTAATATGGTTGATCTTTTTCACTTTCGTTATTTTACAACGTTATTTTTCCTTTTCTATTATTATCATTATTAAAAAGAGTTCAATATTTGGCTGTTTTAGATTAACTGTTAAGTAAGAGATATTACCTGTTTAAAATAACATTCGTAGAAGAACAAAATGTCGGTTTCGGTTACGTAATGATTATTGTCGTGTCTTTTACACATTTTATTCTACTCTCTACATAAGCGCAACATTGGTCACGCATTTGTACGCAGGTTACAACGAAAGAGTTAAACGTGGATATTAACGGTACTATATCTCCAGCGCAGCTGATAGCTTCCGACACATTTGGGAAGTTATCTTCTTCCTTTTCTTCTAGCTCTTAAAATATCAGAAATCATTATCATCATCATCATCATCAGACCAGTAGTCACATTTGAGGGGGTACGGGTCATGGACATCCTGTTATCTATTTATTTAATTAAGCATTAGTGAATACATAATGATTTCTTATATTTACGCGAACACTACACATTGAATAAAACTATTTTTACGGATTTTATCGCGTTTAATTAACTTATTTTATATTCCCGACGTTTCGGTTGCTTTTCAGCAATCCCCCGTGACCACGATTGCTGGAAAGCAACCGAAACGTCGGGAATATAAAATAAGTTAATTAAACGCGATAAAATCCGTAAAAATAGTTTTATCCATTAGTGAATACATTATTGCTCTGACTTGAGTCAAAGTCAATGTTAAAATATTTTTATTCAAATTTGGTCTTTAGAAAGAAGTCCTAAAAACTATGCGCCATTGCTTTAAGAAGTTCCTACTGTGGGAGACTTTGTGAGAAGAAAATGACTTTTTTTCTTCCAATAGTTACAATTTAACCTTATACGATATATTTATATAAATTAATCTTATAAACTTGTCTATGTATGACTATGTCTAAGCATTCTTTTATCCATTAAATTAAAACGTAAGAGAGGCATATCGTTTGCATCTTAAGCCCTGTTTGTTTCAAGTTAGTTGCAGGAGTCCATGTCCACCAGTAGTCATTTAACATCGGGTTGAAAGTTGGTTCTGTTTGTCATTCTTTTATTTTTTTTTAAGTGTTACCACTATATAAAGAATGACTTTTGTAACGACAAGGCGTTTTACATTCATGGATAATACAAGGACAAGCATTTAGGCCACTTGTATTTATCGACTTTCTAATATTATATAAAAGAGATAATTTCATCCAAGGCCGTCTTAATTCATTATCTGAAAAAAAAAAATATATATATATATATATATATATATATATATATATATATATATATATATATATATTAAAATCAGTTATTACTTGTTCGATAAAGTATTTTAATATAGTTCATTTTCTTTGTCTCTTGTCAAATATAAAAAGAGAGAAATTTATTATCTTAAACGAATCAACACCATGTATAAAGTAAATTATACTTAATTTTTTTATTTTTAGTCACAATTGATGCTCTTACGCCTTGTGAAAAGTGATTTATCTACATCATGTGTAAAATTTAGGAATAACAAAATAAAATTCCTGTTTCTAACCTACTGAATTTACCATGTAGCTCGAAGAACCGGCAACCGATGGGGAAAAAAGGTTTTCGAGTGGCAGCCTCGTACCGGTGGATGAAGTGTAGGAGGTTGTCTCCCCACTAGACGGAGTGACGACCTGGTAAGACATGCAGGAAGTCGATGGATGCAGGTGGCTCAGGACCGTGCTTTGTGGTATTCCTTGGGGGAGGCCTATGTTCAGCAGTGGACTTGTGAAGGACTGTAATGATGATGATGAATTTATTTGATTTGTATATATGATAAAATATTAGAACATTCATCGTATAGAATCCGATGTTACCCGGTTTTATTGCGGGGTCTTTGGTGTCGAGCTCCATGTGTATTTTGGGTAAAGACGGAAGTGAGTTGATCATAATGACGCTGCGGTTTAGGAGGTGAAGAGCTCGGACTACTGCGAGTACATCCGGCCGCCGATCGACGCGTACAAGACGCTGCAGTTCGGGTCGTTCGACGAGATCCGCGAGGTGGGCTACCGGCACGGCGCCGCCTACTTCGAGGGCCAGCGGCGCGGCGGCGGCGGCGGCGTCAGCGGCGTCAGCGGGCTCGGCGCCCCGCCGCGCCGCCACCACCAGCCCACGCTCACCGAGTAACTATCACTTTTTTTTGACGTGAATACGTCTTTAAGGCCCGTATTAACACTTTCACTGACCGGTTTTCAGATACAATAGTAAGACAATAGCAATAATCTATATGTAGTGCACGGGACAGCGAAATGGTTAATAAACGTTACTCAGCTCAAGTACACGCACTTGAATACAATCTTGAGGTTATGATCGTATTAATAAACATATCTCATAATGCGGTTTAGGTTTACGATATCAGCTGAGTGCCACACTGATTAATAAACGAAACTCGACTCTCAAGTGTGTGTAGTTGAATTCAAGTCACAGAACAATATTCCTAAGTACAACGTTTTGATATACTGTTTTTATGTGTTTATTAATTAACAACGATCTTGAGATGCTGAATATCGTAATGAGGGCGTATCAAATGATTACGTACTTGAGTCTGTTGTTGAGTAACATTTATTAATACGGGCCTTAATTTGTTTCCACTATTGGGAGGCAGTTAAAAAAAAACTGATGATAACAAAATCTTCTAACTAAATTAAAAAAAACCTGAAATAAAAAGAACTGATGATCTTCAAACATAGCTAAGAACACTCGATGAAACCACATTTCAAACAAAAAAAACTCAATAAAAATTGATTCATCCGTTCAGGAGCTATGATGCCACAGACAGACACACAGATACGCACTGTAAAGATATAACACCCCTCTGTTGTCTTTGGGGGTTAAAATACAGTTTGGTGTTGCAGCTACGTTAACATTAACATCAAAAATGTAATTACACCACTCGATAGCTAAATGATCAAAGCATTCACTACGATATGCGAGGACTGTGACGCATCGCGCGCATCGAAGGGGGAGTGCTTCCATTCTCACGTCTTTTCCTTTTTGGTTTCTTGCTGGTTCTTCCCAGCACAGAAGTATTTTCTGAACCAACGTTAAATAAAAAATTGACTTTCAATAAGTATTATGTAATAATCTATATTGGATAAAAATGCGTGCAAACAATGCGTGCAAACAATCTTTTAACCGTCAATTGTTCAAAAACAAAATATGTATGTTTTTTCAAAACAATAATCTCAAAACCACCCCACAGCTTCTCTGTCACCATGCATACGTACCCTTGTAATACGTTCCAAAAAAAAAGAGAGATGTAAATGTACAATATTAGAACGAACATCTACGATAAAATACCTTGGGGTAATCCTCGACGAAAGATTAAATTGGCAACCTTATATATCAAATATATCTAAACGAATTCGGAGACTCATTATAGTATTTAAGAACCTAAGAACTGTAGCGAATAAAAAACTACTAATTCAGACATATAACGCCCTTTGTCATTGTCTCATAAATTATTGCATCTGCTCATGGGGTAGAGCTCCAAAAACATATCTTATTGAGGCCGAGCGAGATCAAAGATCTATCTATACTAAAACCAATATTACATCTTCCTTATACATACCCAACATCTAAAGTTTACGTATTGTCAAATGTCCTCAGTGTACGAAAATCGTATATATACAAATGCATAAAACGATATCATAAATTTTCCCCACTATATGTAGCTAAAAACAAAAGAACACAAAAATGTCCAGTACCATTTGTGAAAAGCACATTTGCGAAAAGGCAATATGACTACCAAGCACCTCATTTATATAATACAATTAATAAAAAAATTAAGTTAAATAACTTAAAAAGTTACCAAGTAAAACAAGCCATTTTAAATTGGCTAAAAGAATACGACTATGAAAATTGTGAAAACCTACTTTAAGTTATGTACACATATTTTAATGAAAACAGTCGCGCGCACATACACACACAGAGACATACACACACACACACACACACACACACACACACACACACACACACACACTTTTTTAAATATTTTTTTATATTTTAGAGTCTGTATTGTACACGGAAAATCAGATCACTTAATGGGTGGGAAACTGCCTCCTAACATACAGGGTAACCTAGTTTAGGAGTCAGAGAACCAATGAATTGTATATTATATCTGTGTTCAATAAAGAATTATTATTATTATTATTAAACAATGCGTGAAAATAGGTCAATACATTAGTAACCAATGTGATGTGGCTTATGGAATCCCACAGGGAAGTGTCCTTGGGCCGACTCTGTTCTTGACTTACATCAACAGCCCCTGTAATATGAGTATCAACGCGAGAGAAGTTTTTTCCTATGCAGACGACACTGCCATTGTCTTCACTGGCAACACGTGGGATTCCGTACGCCATGTCACGGAAGAGGGGCTAGTCAGGGTGGCTAACTAAAACAAGCTACATAACATTGACAAATGTTTTTAATTATGTTTTGTCTAATGAATTTTTACGTTCATAGCTTCCCAATTAGTCTCTTTGGTCATCATCTTCCTTACTGAGTGTCAGATGAATGTGTCTATTATTTGTTGACTTATATCCGAGTGTTGTCAGAAAGAAAACCTAACAAACTTTTTTTTTATTGTTAACACAATAATGATGGCGAAAGAAGCATATTTCTTTTTTTGGTGGTTATATTATCCGCTTTTGTTCGGGTTTTTACAGTAGATGGTTCAACCGTGGCTTTTATAAACAACCCTGTTGACTCCCAACTTAAATTTACGTACTGATCGTGGATATATGTTCAAATTTCTTCTGTAATCTTTGTCATACAATTTTTTCTACGTTTATTATCACATTGTGGTTGTAATGCTCACTTTGCATCAGCGCTTTTTTCTTCTGTGCCACCTACCGAGCCCAATTGTGAATCTAAACCATCCAGAGAACCACTCAAACACACAAAAAGTTGATCAAAATCGATCCAGCCTCACTCAAGTGATGATTTTCATACATGCGGTAATTGACTTTTATTTATATATCTAGGAAATACAGCAGGTCTCTCGACTAACCATCAATTTCACTTCTATACCATCGATATCACGCTTCTCTAGAGTGACGCAACCTCTCGCTCACTCTATTCAACCGGTATTTTATAGACGCGCCGACATATTATACAGAAGCTAAGCAACTTTAAATTAAAAATCGTTTTGCTAGATTGGCTAAAATAATTTGATTAATATGCTTGTGAAAGACTTCTTAGTGCTAACGTATAAGCTAATAGATAACATGCGCGCGCGCACACATACGTACTCTCTCTCTCTCTCTCTCTCTCTCTCTCTCACTCACTCATACATACACACACACACACATACACACACACACACACACACACACACACACACACACACACACACACACACACACACGGTAGAAGAGGAATAACTTAGTTTTACAAAAAAAATTGTTTTATAAAAATCTGCGTTAAAATTTAATATTGTAAACTTGTATGGGAAGGTACTGATATCCTAAGATACAGGATTAATCCTAGTTTAGGAATCAGTGCAACAATTTGTTTGTAACCTATATAAGTTTTAATAAAATTATTATTATTATATAGATAAATTAACACAATTTCCTGCTACTATTTTATAGCTACACGTTCACGGACCTGGCACAAATGGTGTGTTCAGTCCGTCCGGCGCAAGACGTGGACAACTCGTCCTCCTCCTCGTCCGACTACGAAGACGACCAGCAACACTTCGAGGGATACGCCTCAGAGCCCAGCGCTGGCATTTTGGAGGTAAGACTTTCATAAAATATTTATATCTAATCTATTTCAGTAGATTTTTGTAACTAGTTGCAACCTCAATCTGTCTCAATTGTGAAACTGAACTGCTTTTGTAGTATTTTAGTGTGATAGTATTAATCAAGAAGCTGTTGGTCATTCAGACGTACTAACGTATTACTATCACACGGACAGTCAGCTAATTTGTCACTATTCTATTAAATAAAAAACATTGAAGTATAATGTAGAAGTGTAAAAAAAAACCTTACGTACTAGAACATCTATTTCAAACGAAAAATGTGCACCTCCCTATATTGTGTCGCGCATGCGCAGTAAATAGATCACGTTGCGCAAGCGCGGTTAGTTTTTATCATCACAGATTATACGTAAGTAAAATGATTATTGTTTATTTAGATTGTATTGTTAATTATAGCGAGTAAAATTTTTAAACATTTTTCATTCATGATATGATATTACAACATATATAATAGTTTTTCATACTTGTGCGTCCACCGCAAACTATTCCAACTAAACTATGTATATATGAAAAACTGGCTCAGCTATGCGAGCTTAGATAAACTATGTTACGAGGGTGGATTGAAAAGTACTCGGCCTAAACAAGAAAATAAACACATACTAAATCAGTTATATTTTTATTTTTCTACATAATCACCATCAAGTTCAATACACTTTTGCCACCTCCCACCCCTTCCAAGCATTTAGACCGTTGAAAAAAAAAATGATTCTTCCTTAGAGTCAAAATATGCGTCTACAGCTGCTTTGACCTCGTCGTTTGTCGAAAATCTTTGACCTCCCAAGTGCTTTTTTAGGTTAGGGAACAGAAAGAAGTCTGATGGTACCAGATCAGGTGAATACGGCGGATGCGGTAACAGTTCAGAACCACAGTTGTGAATTTCAGCCATTGACTGTACTGACGTGTGAACACGGGCGTTATCTTGATGAAACAGGACTTTTCTTCTGAGCATTCCTCGACTTTTTTCTTTTATTTCCTCTCGTAAACGACGTAGTAAGGTGCAGTAGTAATCAGAGTTTATATTCTGACCCCTTTCAAGATAATCAATCATAATCACACCTTTCGAGTCCCAGAATACTGAAGCCATCACCTTATTTGCCGACAAAATCGACTTAGCCTTTTTAGGCGGTGGTGAACTTCTCCACTGTTTTGATTGTTGTTTTGTTTCCGGTGTACAGTAATGAACCCATGTTTCGTCCATAGTAACAAAACGATTCAAAAAATCATCTGCATCGGCTTCAAATAACTCCAAACAGTCGCGTGAAATAGTCAATCGCGTCCTTTTTTGTTCAACTGAAAGCAGTCGCGGAACCCACCTCGCAGACACCTTGTGGAAACCCAACTCGTTGACAATGATGTTTTGAGTTCGTTCATAAGAGATGCCTATAATCTCGGCTATCTCTCTAATTTTTAATCTGCGGTCTCCCATTATTAAATCAAGTACTTTTTTAATATTTTCGTCAGTAGTTGACGTCGAAGGCCTTCCAGAGCGGGGTTCATCTTTGGGGGCGTTCAAGTATTACGTAACGCAATTTGGGGGGAGGGGGGGTCTTGTAAAACGTTACGATGCGTTACAGGGGCGGGAGGGGGGTTCGACCAACGCGTTACGTAACATTTTTTTTATTTTAAATAAAAAAACAAGGGAATTAAAATCTCCCAAGTTAGCAACCCTTTTCGTTTATGTTTTATGGAGAATCCCTCGGTGGTATAGTACGTCATTTTTATTTTGTCCTCCCAAGTTGGTAATATTCTTTGTCTGTTTTACGGGGAATCCCTCGACTGTATTGTACGTCATTTTTATTTTGTTTTCGTTATCAGTATTCATCTTACGCAGAAGCATATTGCTGTAGTCAGAGTTGTTAAAAGTGAGTTCATACTGTAATATCCTCAAAAGAGGAAGATTTGCATCATTAGCTTTTCTTGGCACATAAAGGCTCTCATGCTGACTTGCCAGCACAACTGTGCCAAAAGAATGCCAACGCAATTTGGATAACGGCTAAAGAAAAACTAAAAAATAAAGAAAAGTTTATAGAACATATAAATGATGTTATACGAGAGTTCAAGGTGAAGGCCACGAAGAACGTAGTTATTTTACACAGGTAAGTTTACTGCTAAAATATAATAATATTACGTATTCTAGGTAGGTATATGACATATAAACCAAACCTAGATATTTCGTAAAAAAACTGGTCATAAGTATTATATATTTTTAGCTACCTATCCAAACATCAAGCATGCCAACAACACTATTGTCAGCAAGGCCTAATGTCCCAACGACTTCGCCTACTCTTCAACAAAAACGGGTGCGTGTACATACGCGAGCGGGCCGACAAGCCAAGAACTTTGCCATTCAACACTTCACTAAATACAACATTGTCGTCCTGTTCATAGCGACTAATGCTCCTGGGCGGAGCGTATACAACCGAGTAGAGCGGCGCATGGTTCCCTTCAGCAAACGACTGTTAGGCGTCATCCCGCCGCATAAACATTTTGTTTTTTTTTTTTTTATAGAAGAGCAACCGAGCATGCGGCTCACCTGATGGTAAGTGACTACTGGCGCCCAAGAACAACCGCAACACCAGGGGAATTGCCGGCCTTTTGGAAAGATGTAAGCTCTTTTCTTGAAGGTCCCTAAGTCGTATCGGTTCGGAAAAAATCGCCGATGATAAACAATTCCACAGTTGTACGAGGAAGAAAACGCACAGTCGTAGACCGCCAAGCATCAAGATGATGAGGATGGTACCGTGAATTTTTATGCGATGTGCGCTCGTGAAATTTGGCGGCTGGAATTAATCCAACAATTCCCCGTGGTAAATTCGATAGAAAATGCAAAGGGATGCAACATCCCTAAGCAGTGCCAGTGTATCAGAAAGAACTCGGTCGTCGACGATTAGAATCGCTCTGCGCTGGATGCGGTCAAGTGGAAGGAGCTGGCACTGGGGAGCCCCTGCCCAGAGATGAAAACAGTATTCCATGTGAGGCCGGACTTGCGCTTTGTAAAATTGCAAGCGATGTGCTGGCATAAAATACAGTCTCGCTTTGTTGAGCACACCTAGCTTTTTAGAAGCCAATTTGGCCCTCCCTTCCAAGTGACCACGAAACTGCACTTTATTCGATATGTCGACGCCGAGGATTCCGATGCTAGCTGAGGTAGCAAGCGGAGTGCATTGAAACTGAGGAGATTTTTTTTTTTTTTTTTTTTATAGGATCGGGTGACAAACGAGCACACAGTCCACCTGATGGTAAGTGGTTACTGTGACCCATAGACATCTACATCTATCCTCAATAAAGACTCAAGATGCAGATGCGTTGTCACCCGTGAGGACTAAGATGGAATGCCTCTTTGCCAGTAAAAAGGGTCTCCGGTTCTCTACACTCACCATACGAAACACAGCAGCGATAAGCTGCTATTTTACGCTGGTTTTCTGTGAGAGCGTGGTCCTTCCCCGGTCGAGCCGACCCATTCATGCTACAACCATAATATAACTGCAGCATGGCTCTACCACGTATAAGACGACAAAGGGGTTCTTTTTAGCGGTAAACGCGCAAACTTGTCTTCTGGCAAATGAACTGGACTAGATTTAGTCGCCCCCAATCCGAGACTTTGTTCAGCAAAGACTCGACTTCAGACACAAGTTTTTGTTTGTTTTTTACATTGCATTGCCAAAGGTAAAAATAAATATGTTATTTTATTTTAAGAGTTTATTTAATAAAATGTAAGTAAGGAAAAGGCCAAGTTAAAAAAACGGCGTAATTAAATGTAAGGTTAGTAGTAAAAGTTTATTAGGACTGATTTGTGCCCATTTTAACATATTTTAAACTTAAGTAAATGTTTATTATTACATTGTGTGATTGTTTATTAAATAACAATATGAATAAATAAAATAAACAATCAACAATGTATTGCGAGGAAGAAATCTCGTTTTATTTATTATTAACGCGATAAAAACAATAACAAAGTTATTTTAGCGACTTTCCGGTAATTTGCGCAAAGTACTCGTAATTGTGACTTTTAGGTAAAAATGGTCACTTGGGTGTTACGTAACGTTTAGGGGGTTTTTATTGTGCTCTGTCGTATTCATCCGTCAAAAAATGGATAGCAGAATTTAAGCGTGGTAGAGAGAGTGTGAAAGGGACCGTTCAAGTATTACGTAACGCAGTTTTTGAAGATTTTTGACCCTCCCACCCCCCTATGTAACGCGCCGTAACGTTTATCTAGACCCCCCCGTCTAGATAAACAGTCAGTTTTTTTTCTTAGAAATCTTATCTTTGTTCTTTTGCGTGTTAAGAATTAATTTCTTTAAATATTTTATAACGAGACATTCCATCTTAGTCCTCAGGGGTGATAACGCATCTGCATTTTAATTCTTAAACGAGGTTAGATGTAGATGTCTATTGGTCACAGCATGCACTCACCATCAGATGCACTGCGTGTTCGTTTGTTACCCTATTTCTATATAAAAAATTGTATAATTATTCATTCCTGCATTCATTACATCCTGTCAAAGTCCATTGCTGGACATAGCCCTCTCGCATAAATTGCTCCATTTGCCATAGGTGCCACGCTTGACAAGCGGATGGTGCGACTTCGTCCGAATATATATGAAACGAACTATATGAAAATTTGTTGTTTAACGGTGAAAAATTACTGAGAAAACTATAGGAAACTACGGGAGCGGGGGGTTGGCAATTGATCAAGGTACAATTTAACAGCATCAGTTCGCTCGCGCAAATAATGCGCGGCTGGCCCCAACTTTGTCACGAGGCAGAGGTAGAAGAGACTTCCCCTCTCCTACGCATGCGCGCTACACCGCTCGCCTCCACTTCTCCGCGGCAACAAAACACGCATCACTGAACACGTAGTGCTTATAAAAATCGTTGTTTCTTAAAATTTTAATAACATTATATAAAGTAGAAAAGATATCGCAATATTTTTTCTTAAAACAGAACTTGTCTTTCCTAGTGTTGCATTCGTAGAGAT